CACAGGATTAGTTCCTTCAGTTTCGGCACTGGAATATCAACATTTATTTGTTTTTCGGTTATGTATTCGCAAAGAAAGTTGATGATCTTTAGCAATGGGACGTTGGTGAAAAATGATTCCACATCGAATGAGAGCATCACTTTACCGTCTACATTCAAGTCTTTAACTTCTCCTACAGATGCAAATGTGTCTCTTAGAGAGTGTATGGATAGTGCATTACGTACCGGTTCCAGTAATTCGACAAGCCATTTTGCAACAGAGTGAAAAGCGGATGCCGATGTAGTAATTATAGCACGTAAGGGGACATGCGGCTTGTGTACTTTAGGTAAACCATAAAGCCGAGGTGGCTGAGAGCCAACAGGAGTTAATCGACCAAATATAGAGTGATTTAGCACATGCAGTTGTTTTAGTTCCTCCAAGACTTTCGTAGTGTTAGTTTTATCTTCTGCGGTTTAGTCCTTCTGGACTGTATCACGCATTAACTTGCTTTAGCCTTGCAAAATAACGTGGATTTTGGAGACTTACTCGGATCTGTCCATTAACACCCCATCCCGATCCTATATCTGGTCTAGAAAGGATGAGGTCAGGATTAGATCGTAAATCTTTAATTCCCTCTCGATATTTCTTGATCAGGATGTTTGACGACCTTTTCTCGTAACGAAGGTACTGTTGACAAATATGCACCAACGTGGTTTTAAAAGAGTCTGGGGCAAGGGAAGACGTGGATGTGTTCAATCAGTTGGTGCATTAGGTTTTCAAACTGGGTTTCTAGGTGGACTTGATCGCTTGTTTTCATATGGACGAGTGTCAACTCGCTTCAGTCACCCATTGAGGGGCTTCGTGTGAAATAATACGTGTTTCACGTTGACAGAATCAAGCTCTGAAAATGTTACGCAGGGAGTCCGACACGTACCCAGTGGCAGAGGTTGAAATTGCATCCGGACAAGGTGCGTGTTCTTATTTACAATACTGGCGACGGCTTATCGTAGCAATGCCTGCATCGGAGAACTGGAAGAATACACTGAGCAATCCGGTTCCTGGACCGTTTACATCGAGCGTATGAACTGTATTTTCGCCGCCAATGAAATCGTCAGCGACAACCGCAAAGTGAATATCCTACTGAGTAACTGTGGCTCACAAGCACGATTTAATTCGCAGCTTGGTGACTCCCGATTTGTCATGCACCAAACAATTTACTGAACCACACTGGTTTCCAATCACTATAACCCAAATGTATCAGTTACTGTGCAGCGATTTAAATTCAATATTCGAATCCAGGATGAGAGGGAGCCAGTCGCTTCCTTCGTTGCTAAGCTTCGGAAGTTGACAGAACATTGTGATTTCTGTAACTACCGAAATGACATGAGCCGACATCGCCTAGTGGTCGGCGTGAAAAAGGTTCGCTTTCAGCGCTGTCTGTTGGCCGATAATGCATTGAGATTGGAGAATGCCTATGATGTTGCGACCGGGCATGGAGGCTGCCGAAAGTAACCCGTAGCCACTACGGGATTTACAGCTCAATTCAAAGCCATCTGCTGAAGATGTCACGGCCGAAATCAACAAAGCTGATGAAAACACCACGCGCTAGTTCAACTATTATCGCTGCGGCTTGCGGCAGTCATCCCAGAGAATGCAAACATACACAGAGTCTGTAACAAATGCCAAAAATGTGGATACTAGGCCCGTATGTACCGGTCCAGTACAAACCCATGTTCCCCGGTAGTAAACAACCAACTTGTTGCTATTGAACCACAGGAGTATATAGTTAGTACAACTGCCCCAAGTGCACAACCGCCATTTCGCGTGCAGCTTTTGTTAACCAGATTCCAGTGCATTTCGAAAGTGACACTGGCAGTGTAGTAACGCTGTGCAACGAATGAACGTGGTCACAGAGATTGGCTCCAACGAATCACACCAAACTGTGTCGGGCGCCTCTGCGATTGCGTACATATACGAGTGGTGAAGTGAAACGGCTGGGGGTGCAGGACGTTGAGGGGTCATATAGAGGATCGACAACCCGAGGAACCATTTACATCACACTCAGGAGGGTCCAAACCTACTGGGCCGCGACTAGATCAGTCAACGACCAGTTCTGCAGATAAACCCTTTTCTTACCATCGGAAATGCATACCCTGTTCCAGCAATATGCACCAGTATTTGAGACGCCGGAGGAAGAATTCACCGGGCGACAAGTTAATATCTACATTCTAACTGGCACACAACCGCGATTCATCCAGACTCGATCGCTGCCGTATATGATGCGATCGAAGGTAGAAGAGGAACTCGATGGCCTGTAGAAGAGCGGCGCCATAAAAACAGTACAGTTTTCGGATTGGGTTACACAGACTGTTCCGGTACTCAAGCCTGGTGGATCGATTCGTATATGTGGGGACTATGAAATTACTGTCCAATGCAGTAATCAGGCCGAAAAATACCCGATCCTGAAAATGGAGGCTTACGCGCAGCTCGGTACCAGCAGATATTTCTCAACCTTGGATTTCGCGCACGCTTATCAGCAACTCGAACTACACAAAGACGCCAAAACAACAACGACGATCAGTACCCATCACGGTTTGTTCAGGTACAACAGACTATCATTTGGCATACATTCGGCTCCGGCCATTTTCCAGAGAACAACAGAGGACATCATAACAGAGTTGCCTAAAGCTTTTGTATACCCAAACGACATATTGGTTACTGGGCGACAGATGACGAACATCTACAAACTCAGCGAGTTGTTCTGGACCGCCTGTGGGAGAATGGTTTGAGGGTGAAACGGGGAAAATGTTTATTCATGGCTGCCTACGTTGATTATTTGGGTTTCCGTATAAGTGCTGATGATGAGTGAAGAGAAAATACGGCCTATCCTTGAGGCACCACAACCGGAAAATCAACACAAGTTGAGGTCGTTCTTGGGAATGTACAATCACAAGGTTTGTTCGGCAATTAGCCAGTGTTACACCCAGTGCATCGTTTGTTATGCAAAGGCACTCAGTGGGTGTGGTCTGAGACGGAGGAAATAACTTCTAGGCAAGTTAAAAGTGTATTGGCTAGTCCACCGGTTTTGGCCTACCTTGACCCCGAAAAGTACATGGCGCTGACATATAATGCATAACCGTATGGAGTCGGAGCCGCCCCGTTACAACCTGACGCGAACGGAGTAGACAAACCAATTGCTTTCGCTTCTCGAACCCTATCGCAGATGGAGTGAAATTACGCCCAAATTGACAAGGAGCCTTTAGCGGTCGTTTTTGGAGTTGTGCGATTTCACCAATACCTATTCGGGCAGAGATTTGAAATACACACAGACCACAAGCCATTACTGGGAATTCTGGGTGAATCAAAAGCGATACCCCAAATGGCATCGCCCCGGATGCTTCGTTGGGCACTACCACTCGTTGGATATCAGTATCAACTAAAATATCTTCCCGGGAAGGAGAATCATTGTGCCGATGCTCTCAGTCGACTTCCATTACGGGAGGCTCCGAGTCACGCGCCACCTTTGAGAGAATTGGTACAAGTAAGATCTTGATTGGATGATTCGCCGGTGACAGCAACGGAAATAAAATCGAAACAAGGAGTGACCCGGAACTGTCGAAGATGCGTGATTATATCTTAAGTGGTTGGCTGGACCAGGTAGAGCATTTCGCACTCGAAGAGATGAATTAAGCCTCGAGGACGGTTGCATACTTTGGGGCTCTCGAGTCATCGTCCCAAACGGTATCGTCAAACAATCCTGCGGGAACTTCATATGGGTCACCAAGGAAATTCAAAGATGAAGGCACTAGCACGTAACTACATCTGGTGGCCGGGAGTCGATCAAGAGATAGAACAACTCGTACAATTGTGTGCTAGCTGTCAAGAAAATAAATCATCCCCACAACCTGTGCCAATGTCTCCATGGCAATGGCCCTCGCGCCCGTGGGACAGAATACACATTGACTTCTGTGGACCCATCGACGGCTTCATGGTTCTGGTTGTAGTGGACGCCCATTCCAAATGGATCGAAGCTCGGGCAACCACATCCATGACTGGGTCGACCACTGTGCACATCTTAAGGAATATATTCGCTACACATGGTGTACCATGTACGGTTGTTTCAGATAACGGCCCGACATTTACCAGCGACGAGTTTGCACAATTCCTACGTCAAAATGGAATCGAGCATGTTCTCTCGGCACCATATCACCCTTCGTCCAATGGTCTGGCAGAGAGAGCGGTTGCGACAATCAAACTGGGTGTGGCCAAACAACAGTCCGGAATTTTACAAACCCGCCTGGATAAATTCCTATTACAATATCGCATTACGCCACACACTACCACGGATCATCCACCGTGTGAACTTCTGATGGGACGACGTCTGCGCACTCGGTTGGATCTGATTAAACCCAATCTGCATCGAACGGTCGGTAAACGCCAGTCTGTGATGAAGCAACGCTACGACATGAAAACGAAGGATCGTGTGGTTGAGGTAGGCGACAGAGTGTACGTTAAACTGAGGTCAACTGATAGAAGTTGGATCCGAGGGATTACGAGATTGACAAGAGGTAGTGCAGTGGAAGAGGAATTGGAAGATAGGCGAATACTTCAACGTCATTTAAACCAAGTGCGACGACAGCCTGTGAGTGTTACAGAGGAACAAGCAAATAGCCCATCGCCTGCACCCCTGAGAATAGCGCCAGAACCACTGTCAAATGAAGACCAAGCTGCAACCTATACAGTCATGGCGATCACTTCGTTGGAAGCGCAGCGAAGGACACTATCAAGCTGGATTCTATTAATCTAGTGGTGCAGGACTGTTGTGATTGGTTATCACGAGCCACGGTCTGTCTGGTGATCATGTAACTGACTCATGTGGGTGAATTCACGTCCATGTTTTCAAGCGAACCAGTGACTTGGTTGTGTGTACACATTACAGCTGTGTCCTTTGCGTTTCTGTGTTCTTACAATAAAACACATGTAAGTAGAAGAGTTGATGACAACAAAATGCTACCGGTAGAGAAGGAATGCCATGGTAGTTTCGAGTATCGTAAGAGTATCCAGTTACATAAATCTGGCGGAACGAGGGGAGCACCGATGAAACTACGGGACATAAGTAAGAGTACATCTTTCGATACCTCGAGTAAGGGGGAAGCTCTACAGAACTCGGGGACAGATGACACGCACCGAATGGCATGGATAAAACATTCGTAGTAATATAATATAATATGAAATTATAAAAATTCTACGTGTAATAAAAGACGTACAAAAATAGTGGTGTAAAACAATCGAAATCGCAGTTATCAAGTTTCCAATGCTAATCCAGATGTGTCCAGTTCACCGGGGGTTGACCATGTTCCCGTAGAAACACATTCGCTCTGACGAAATGCTTACATCCGAAGAATCCGCGCGACGCCGAGAGAGGTGAAGGATGCGGAGCCCGCAATACCAGATGACGCTTTGGATCGATACCAGAGCCTTGTTTTTGGGCATGAGCACCCCAGAGCATAAATACTAGGTGCTGAAAAGAAGAGAAACAGATGAGATGGCTTTAGCGAAAATCAACAAGGCTGAGCAGACTCGGATGGCATAGAGGAAACAGGAGCTCACCGATTTCTCTTTGCTTAAATAGCGGATGACCGCATCGGTCAGCAATTCCCAACCTTGATCCTTGTGGGAATTCGGGCTGGAAGCACGAACAGTGAGAACCGCGTTAAGCAGTAGGACGCCCTGACGACCCCAGCCGGTCAAATCACCATGATTTGGAGGCCATGGTGTTTTGGGTTCAGTTGATGGTAAATCGTCACCTATTTCTTTGTACATGTTGATTAGACTCGGCGGGGGTGGCAGTGGTCGTTGAACAGAGAAAGCCAAACCATGAGCCTGGCGGGGCCCATGATACGGGTCCTGACCGAGAATAACCACACGGACGGTGGAAGGGGGGCAGAGTTGGCTCCAAGAGAAAACCTAAAACAAGATATAAGAGACCTTTGAACAAGTGCTTCAAATAAGGTTGATGAAAAATGACATCGTTTGCAGTCTATGGCCGAATATTAGGTTGACCACCATCACACATGAACAGTTGCTCCTAGGCGATCAACACTCCTCTCCAAGTCCAACCATCATCGGAGATCCAAGGAAGTGTGCTCGGTCCGTTACGACGCCTGCTTTATGCCAGTGACATCATCATAGTTAGCAAACAAGGTATGCCATTCCTATCTGCTGATGAGATAATGCTTGCCTATAAGCTCCCACTAGATAAAATTTAAATCATACTTGCTCATTCAGGATGACCTTCATTCCTTTGAGACAGTGTGACAAATGGATGACGCAGTTCTCAGCAAAAATCACGTGTGTCGCGGTTGTTTGACATCCGAAGCATCTAGCACATTCAACAACGAATGCCTATGTCTACAACTGTTCGTCCGCGACTTCGACTTTTCTGAGTGAATTGAGGTCCAGGCAGCAGCGGCTAGACAATCTGTGCGTAATATGTCCCACAGGATGCATACGATCATAGCCAGAGTCCTGTGTTGCATTATTGCGGAATAATTTGTGTCCGTATGAGGAAAACTGATAGAAGTGATCTGGAGAATCTACAAAGGTCATTCAACAAATGTACATTGGGGAAATTTTCAACGAGAACTGTCAGGAACGATGCCAACGACCCCAGTTCAATCTGCTTCTGTTGCGATGATTAAAGCTACAGACAGATTCATAAAAAATCTTATTACAATCTACTTACATTAGAATTGCAGCGCAGTTCTACCTGGAACACCGGCTGCACCAATTTGAAGGACAAATATGCGGTGCAATTTCTTTATACTTAGATACGCTGCCCCATGGAATGGTGTCCCTATCACAATCAGATCGCGGGAAAGCGTAACATCATTGCGTAATAAGCAAAGAATCCGCTTCGACTTGAGCACGATCGCGACAGTGTGTCATGGGGGAGATTGTCTGACGAATTATCGCAAGAAAGCTCGGGTAACATCTAACAGGTGAAGTAGGGAGAAATCCACGGAGTATAAGTCACCCTAAGTGGTTGTAAAACCCTCGAGGCCTACCAGTACCATTCACTTTAGGATAAAACATGAAGCGCTGAGCCATGTACATCGCTAGAAACACACAAGTGTGTTATCCATGCAAGAGAATGACACAGCCTGTATGTATATGATCCGCGCCAGAAATGGATGCAGTGTCTCACTTGAGGAGAAGTTAATATTGTTAATTTTAGATTAATGAACAGGCCTGTCATTAACTACCCTCATCCGCTTGGCCGTCTAAGGCGATTCCACACAAAATCGACCGTCGTAGCCGACAAATGAGAGACACTCGGAACAAAAAGAAGCAACTTAATTTATTCAGGGCGAAAAAACAAATGGAAAGCAGAAAATAGAGAGAAGTGACATACAGCTTGGGTTTAAATTATAATGAGTTACTGTAGATCGGAGCTGATGTGGGTATGAAACCGACAAATACCGCTATAGTTGAACAATAGAAAAGGACGTGAAAAGCGTATTTTATAAACGAGAGTAAATGGGAAAAACAGATTATATATACATGTAGAACACATCCAACAGTACAATTGGCAGGGTGTCACAACGTATGGACAAAGATAGTAATACAACAACAATCAGGAAATAGAAAGGGTAAAAGGAGTGAAAAAATGGTTATGGGGGCAAAGTCTCACAAGATGTTCGCCACTGCGCACAGTTTCTTGTCCGATAGTGTTTCTAGCCAAGTGTGTTCATGGTCCTTGGGCCCACAACGGGGTAGTCAAGAGCACCCGACCGCGACCAAATGTGAATTCAACGCATGCATACTTTTGGTCCAAGTCATTCGCTGGCCACCTTGTCTACGCTTCCAGCCTACTTCCGTGCGGGCGAAGAGTGTATGGTGAGGCAAACGCTCAGTACGCATGGGAAGCACGTACCCAAGCCACCGAAGCCTATGAAGTGAAAGTATACGGCTCAGCGTCCAGCAAAGTCTGTACGATTTGAAAATCCTTCGGCAAACATTCTCATTACTAATGTGGTGTTGCCACTGTACACCAGCAATGATTCCAAGGCAGTGGTGATCAAAGACAGACAGCGTCTGAACGTCCTTTGCGCGAACAGACCAAGTCTCGCAACCGTAGAGAAAAACCGCTCTCATCGTAACATTGTAGACTCGGTCCTTCAAGGATAGGTTGAGATCGCGACGACGCCAGAGATGGCGGAGATCAGCAAACGAAACACAGGCATTAGAGACGCGCAAGGAGACCTCATCCCGTAAATCGTTAGCGCTGATGCAGCTTCAGAAGTAAAAAAAACTTATCTACCACTTCGAGAGATTGACATGAAAGGGTAAGGGATGGAGCAGATCCTGTACGAAGACCTTACACTGCGAATGGGCGAAGGTTATTCCAAACTGGGAGGCAGACACCGCCAACCTGTACAACACATTTTGGGCGGCCTGTGAGGAATGGCAAATCACGGCGATGTCGTCTGTATACTCCAAATCGCGAAGTGGGTTCCCCGGAAGCAGTTCAACGCCGCTGGGTCAGCAATGCTCCATAGCGCTCTCCAGAATGTCATCAGTAACGAAATTGAACAAGAAGGGTGATGCTGGCCAGCCCTGTCTCGCGCCACTGGTGATAATAAAGGGGGCGAAATCTCGCCGTACACCCGCACTCGGCACGAGGTTAGAGAGTAGATGGCTCGAAGGAGGTTGACGTACTTCTCAGGCACTCCCCTTCTCAAGAGATAGCTCCAGAGAGCAGCTCGATCAACTGAGTCAAACACGGCTCATATGTCTAAGTAGACAACGATCGTTGGCCGTGTGAACGTTTGACGCACGAGTATTTGGCGGAGTGTAAAGATGTGGTCGATACAACTCCGGACGGAGCGGAACCCAGCTTGCTCGCCGCGTGTTGTGTTCGAGTACAAGTATCAGACCCCTTAAAAGCAAGGCGGAGAGCACTTTAGAGGCAACGCAGATGACACCAATCCCTCTGCGGTTAGCGCAGTCCGTCTGGGCACCGTTTTGAAGATGGGCGCGATATGCGTCAGACTCCAATCGGACGGGATTGCTTCCGTGGTTCAAACCTTTTGGAGGATGGAAGTTAGCTCCCGAACAAGTGATGGACCTCCATCATTGAAAACAGCTGGAGTTCGTCAAGGCCAGCGGCTTTGTAGCGGTTTAGGAGGCGAAGCTCATACTCAGAGGGTAGTGAGGCGTTTACACAATAGGGGTTCCCGAATGAGAGAGCACTAAGGCTGCAGGCCAGTTGAACTGCTGCTCAAAGTGCTCAGTACAAGACACAAGTTTACGTAGTTGGCAGTGGATTCGCTCGTCATTCGTTTCGCACAAAACTTTGCTTGAAATCGGCCTTTTGTCGCCAGTGGGTCGGATCAGGTTGAAAAGATTTCTGAAATTCCCTGAGCTAGCTGTTTGCTCCAAATCAACGACCCAGTAATTCCACCAGACCTCGCGGTTCTCCTGAAGGAGCTGTTTGAGTTCAGCGTTAGTGGTCCTGCGTAGTGAATGATACTCAACACCAGCTGGAATTGCTCGACGAGCTTCGAGAAGTTGGAGGGATCGTGCAGAGATACAGTGGTTGAAGGACTACTGGTGAAACCACAGACCAGAATCGCAGAATTGTGCATGGCGCTGCGGATGTGTGCCCAGTGCGTTTCAATGTCAGACCATCAGGCGCTCCTGAGATTTGATGCCAACGTATCGTGAAACGCGCTGAGAAGGTTTGGGGCAGAAAGTTTCGCTACGTCAAACCATGTTCGGCGACGCCGTTGGGTGCCACTAAAACGTAAAGCAATCTTGGCATATACGAGAGCGTGGACCGAAGTGAGGTACGTACTCCAAATTGATTTGCAATCCTGTATGCAGCCCGCCAGCGATAACTGATGACGATGTGGTCAATCTTCGTCCGTGACTGGCCAGGTGACGGAGGCCTCCAGAATCGCCGAAAGCTAGTACTAGATAGGAAGAGCCTGGGATCGGCACGAGGCTGAAGTAAGCGATCACCGCTATCTGTTCTGCGAGTGTCATGGCCATGTTGACCACCGAGTTCACGCTCTTAAAGCAAGTCTACCGACCTGCGCGTTTAAGCCACTTGCAAGCACCACGGCGCTTGCAGGTTTGAAGGAGGATTAGCTTCGTTTATAAACAATCGACATGACCGATCAGAAAAGTAATGAGTAACCGAAGGGAGATGCGAACCGACTCAAATTCATCGGATAGTCATGGGTCCTATCTTGTAAAGATAGGCGATGTGCCGAGGAGCATCGGTAAAACACAGCGAATACACCACCTCAGTGAGAGCTATCAAGAGAGCAACTGCATTGAAGGAACCAGGTGAAGACATTTATGCAATTTGTATCATGACTGATGAAGACGTAGAAAAACGTGTGAAGTATATACTGCACAGATACTTAGAAAGCAACTAGCTAACAGCGGATTAAGGCAGAATCGAACATGCCGGCAGTTGGAAGTATCATTCTAAATGTGAACACAGGCACTATGGATTAAATCGAACCCCATGATAAGCGATATGAAGTCCAGCCTACAAAACAGCTATACCTGTTCCGGAGGTGGGAAAATTGGGATTGTTCCGGCCCGTTCAGCATGGATGAAGTCAGCTAGCCGCTGGAAACGATCACTGAGGATCTGCTTCTCCAAAATACACATCCATTCAGTGTTCATGCCCTGGATTAGACTGAGCACAGACCGAGAAGGACGAGATGCCAGCTGACGTTTGAGCTCCGCTACAGTCTTGTTGATCTTCTCACGACTCAGCGCAGAAGTGTCGTGGGCGCCGAGTTGTGGTATCGAAAAGCACGTTCGCTTTGCAACGGCTTCACCTGGAATTGCAGGGAAGAATGTAAATTTTAAAAGCCAACGGGAAACTCCTATGTAAAATCTGGTATGCAAAGCTGGGCACGATTAATAAAACGTGTTCGAGGTGTCAAAAGTAACTTGATGAGATCGCGTCTGCTGCCTAGGTGGCAGGTGGATTAGGTAAGGACAACAAGACCACTGGAGTGTGCACTTACAAGAGCCATTGGTATAATCCTCAGTGCATGTCCGTTTAAGAGAGGTATTAGAACTTTCCGCTGAGGATTGCGTCAATTCGATGCAAGTAACACCGGATGGTATTTCACAGGAGTTCGGAGGTTCTTGAATCGTGCAAGATAATGATTTTGGGGAGGCAAAAAAGGCCGTAAGAGGCATTTGTGATAAGGTGGGTAACTTTGGCATAGCTTGTGAGAAAGACCGAAAATGACGTGCAAGATCAACTGTGAAAAGCTAAAAATAACGCAAGAAGGAGACACATTGATCATGTACGACGGAATAGATCGAGGATAAGCGGTCGAGAGAGCATGCCAAAATATTAGCACAATTAGTCAAATGCATAAAACTAGTAGACTAACTTGTAAAATACAGGCCGAAAACATGTTATTAGTGACAATACCATAAACGGGCCTGTTATTAGCTGCACTCGTTCGCTTTGTCATCTGAGGCGAACTGACACAAAACCGACCGTTGCGACCGATAAATAATACACTCGGAGCAAAAAGAAAGGACGAACCAATTTGTTCAAGGCGAAAGATGCAAAACCCGAGGTGTATGTAGGGGGAATAAGTGGCCTATTAAAGTTGCCTACGGTATGTCGCGCGTGGTCACCGAAGAAACTGTTAAATTGTAAGTTTGTGAGTTAAAACCCAATGTAAAATGAAATCGATGGAGCAAAAATCGCGCCGCTAACTTATGGAGTGCAAAGTGAATGTAATTATGTGTTCTTACTGTATGAACCATGAGTCAGTCGGCAATTCGCTGACGCTTAAAAAATCAGGAGCAGATGTGCGCCTTGAAGCGCAATCCGACCCTAAAACCCTCAAGCAACCCGCTGGCTACATGTTGTAGGCAAAAATAAGAACTAACTACTTGAAAAGAGTAAAACATAAAACAGCTACTTCGATTTATAAAAGGTTTGTTAGCTATGTGACAGAAGCTGAATCAGACGGAGCTGGTTCCTAACCTCACTTTACATTAGGGGTTGGCAGCCGTATTTGTCTTTGGTCAGTGCAACTTTACAAATACGCGTAGACTGTTCACGCCATTCCTTCCACTGAGCTTATGTAAACAGCTAAGGAATTAATATTTGTCTGAAAAGTAACTGAGGAACGGTGGAAAGTGTGTTTGACCAAAGTGTGTAAGAGTTCATGATAGGTAGAAAAATTGGGTATCGGCATAGTGCCGGTATTTCGTGCCGATGCCTTGACGCCACGTGACCACCAAAGGTCGCGTGTGAATTCTGGGTGCTTCAAGGTCGTTAGCACGGTGACCTGTGGATTACAAGCCAAAGGCCTGAACTACTCAGTCATTGGTAGGTTAAAAATGGGCATGGTATGACGTATATAGCGAACTGGGAAGACAATCACGACGAATGAGGTGCAAGTATAAGGCTAGCCCCGTTACATTGTCTCGCCAAGTGGTGCATGGAACGGCCCACTTTGTATAGTCACACACGTAAGCTCCTGCCAGTGATGGATTTGGGATTGATGTGATGTACATTCTCCGTTCCGAATCTGTCCACCGATGGTCCTCAGACTGGTCGGGATAAGACAGCCTGCCATACGTTCGTAAGTTCCAACACTTCCATTTTGTTCACGCAGTCGATCATCGTGCTAATCTCAACCTTCTCAGCAATCAGCATTTGAGGTGTCTATTGAATCCTCACCAACCGAGCTCGACGTTTTCCAAGTCGATATTATGGCTATCCATCGCTTGCATCGCTATTGCCGAATCCCTTAGCAGATACCTGTGTTCAAGCACGTTCCTCGGTGGCCGTGCTATGGGACTCTTGTGTGCTACTAATCTTGTGTGTAGCTCTCTTGCGATTTGCCTAACGTACACCTGTGTGCAGTCTGCAACTGATTTTGTGGAAGCAAGCAGTTGTTCTGTCTGTGGGAAATGAGTCCTACAAGTGCATCAATGTCGAGCGAAGCGTTTGACCCTTCGGGAAAATTACCCTCCTATTTGCTTTGTTTAGTACCCTCCTGATGGCATCCGAAATTCCCTTTATAAGGAATTCCTACCATCCCAATCCATTAATAAGCAGGACGTCTTAGGATTTAAAATTAGCCGTAACTGGCGTTTCACTAACCGCTATGGGTATCAACTATCAAGCGATCGTTTCACTTCATCCTTTCGAGTGACCTTCCTATCTTCTTCCGCTGTGTATAGGTCTGGGCCTTGTGAAACAGAGATGAGGCGACTCTAGTATATTTTTGTGTGACATGAACTACAGTAGAGTACTCCATCTGTGTCCACCGGCTTACGAAATATTGTTTCGTTTAGATTACCCCATTCCCTGTGAACTACGCAATCAAGGAATGAAATTGTGCCACTGCAACATACCAAGGTGAAATATATGGTCTCAGAAATTGTTCAAGTTGGCTATAAATTCATCTTTCCTATTCGTTTTATGATGACAAATGTGTCATCCATGTAGCGTCGCGAAATTTGCCGTCAGCTACTGGAATCATCAGTGGCCTCTTTGCAAAGTCTTCAGGTATATATAGATTTGCCAATACCAGGAATATTGGCGAACCCATGGCAAGACTCTGTTCCTGAGTGCACAGTATAGACTGGAACGTGAGATAAGACACATAAAGCATAATATCATCCACTCAATTATCTGACCTACCATAAGCCTTGTCCTTCATTTCAATTTACTGCACCCAGTCAAACAGTGCATTGCTGTGTCCGACACGTAGCATTTTGGCACTTTGGTTAAGAACAAATCGAAACTAAGCAGAACGATGGTCAGGAACTCTTTAAAAAGCGGTCATTCCGGAGGCCATCCAGAGAGTAGTAAACAAGGAAAAGAAGAGAACAATTTACTAGGGTATCGCTCAACAATGGTGCACTTGGAGGATCCACTTCCACAATACAGGACAATTGACTGCGTCCACAAAATTAGTTGCAAATACTGCGCACACTGTACATAGGCCAAACCTCAAGAAAGGTATGAACAAGAATAGCAGAAGACAAGAGGTTCATAGCACGGAAGGAAGTTGTATACAGGGCTCTACTAAGGGATTCGGCAGTAACTATGCCCGCCATAGATGGATGGCGACATCAGATTCCGGATTTACCTGTCACTGTGGCCTCCATAGAACAGTCCCAGGACGCCTGCGGCTACATAGGGACCATGAGTGGGTTGCGCTGCACCATCCACAGTGCCACCCACACACCCCATATCCAGTGTAACCCCGAAGGAATAACACCGAGAGGCATGTGGATGGGAGCCACGTTTCATCAACGGAGCCGGCTCACACTCTTTCAACAGGCACAACAGCAGCATACCTGTTTTCCTAAAGTGGGGTTCATGTGTTCCAGACCTTGTCAACAATCACATAAAGCGAAGCCACACTGGGGATAGCAATCATCAGCCAACACACGAAATGCAAGAAAATTAACACGCAAACACACTAAAATAGGCGATGATGAAGCTCATTTAACACATTGACCGACCTGGGTTACTAAATGGCAGCGTACTTACTAAGCGCTGTGCTGATTAGCTATACAAATAACCTTTCGCCTCTTCGGTGTTGGACCCGCCTGGCGACGATGGTGGCTTACCAAGACGACTTGGCTTAGGCAATCGTAACCGCATGACCTACAGCACCATGCGCTTGAGGTTAAAGGACAAGAATCAATCGGCGCCTGTCACTTCCTCAACCGACGTTTCTTTTCGGCAAATAATAGTGCTATCTCCTGCACCCGAGCACGCAGCTTGACCAAATGGACAGCTTTGTCTATCTGGGAAGCTGCGTGTTTGCTGGTGACTCTATTGAGAATGAAGTTTCTCTCTGCATCGCCAAAGCTTGGTCAGCATCCGTCAACCTGAAGCACTTGTGGCATCGTCGGGATGTCCCCCTATTGGTAAAGAGTTGCGTGTACAGTGCCACTGTTCGGTCGGTGTTGCTATATGGAAGTGAGTCATGTTCAGTTCGCGTGGATGACATGCGCCGGATCTCAGCTTTTGACAATGGGTGCTAGCGGAGCGTTGCTCGTGTGTGGTGGCAGGAACGTATTTCCAATGGTGAAGTCCGAGGTCGTGTCTTAGGGGATGAGAGTATGCCCCTCAACAAGTTGGTTTAGCTGCGTCAGCTAAGATGGCTCAGTCACGCTTTGCGTATGTCAGCTGAGGGTTCGCCTTATTGCGCTCTTTGTTGGTGGTCAGCCGTCCACTTAGCGTCAGCATATGAAACCGTTGACTTCACGTCTTGCTGCGGTCGGATTCACACGCTTACCTGGTTGGGGACCAAAGGATGAAGAGTGCCGATGGCCAGAAACAATGCAGGGTATGACGCGCAGTCGAAACCAGTGGAGGATTTGTGTACATGCATGCTTAGATGCAGGTGTCTAATGCTTAAAAATCAGAAACGCCAAAAAAAGAAAATGGCGTGTGAAAGAATTACAAGAACATTTCCGTTCTTTTTAAGGTACAATAGTTGAAGTGTGTCATTCACCTTCAGCAAATGCACTATGACGGTGATGTGGTGATTAAACCTGTATTGTTCCTATGATTTCCATGGTTTTGTTTGACTCCATGTCTATTCGTTAGACTGTTGCCAATACATACATACCTGAGCAACCGTCATCTTGATAAGTTCAAGTCACTGGCGCCGATTAACTGTTATCAATTCCAAACACCTGAAATCAATATTAATTCGTGATAAACTCACATTGATCATGTCGACTTTTGTATTTCACCCGCAACTGACGAACGCGAACATCATGCCTATGGTGCTGCGGCCCGAACGGAATCACCAGGGCTCTTCCGCCACGTTCGACTCAACGACCAGAGTGACGAGGCGATTGAGCAGGAGACGTGCTATCAACTTTCCCACACAACACAGCAAGCTGATGCTATGACAATTCGTGCAACATTGCTTGCTCACATTGTCTTGTACAGTGGTAGGACAAAGGAATCCCCCAACTCGGCAAGCACCTCTTTATCAAATCACACGCGTTGCACCAAGTGGTGCAGCGCATTTATCAACGCGTGTCAGACGCGTTTCAACACTTCAGGCGGGACCCAGTCACCTCCGGCGCACTTGCCGTTTGGCACCTGAGCAAGTGTTCTGTGAGTCACACCCAGTGTCGGTGGGAGTAAGTCTCTTGCCGCTGTAGCACAACACACAACAGTAGTACATCAATCATTTGAACTGATGCCTAGCTGCCGTACAACCATGGTGACCTATGGAACGAAGAATAACAACAAGAAGAGGTGG